GGGTGGCAGGTCTGGGCGTTGGGTTGGGGTTGGGCTGTGGTGGGGGGCAGGGGGTGATGTTGGTGCCGTGGCTGAGGTGGGTAGCGGGGAGGGCGAGGGTGCTGGGATGGCAGCGTCTGGGCCCACGTGAGGGAGGTGACACGCTCGGCTCTTGCCATCGCTGCGTCCCCTCCTCGGCTGATGAGCCTTCTCATCGACTCCGGTTTGTGTCTGGGTGTGCTGCACACCTCAGCTATGGGAGATGGTTTTTCTCTGGGACGTGTGTGAGATGATGCTTTGGAGCAATGTGCTGTTGGTTTTTTTTTCCTACGTTGTTCTCTAATCTCTTGAGAAAGGAATTGGCTGAATTTACACTCTATAAACTCATTTTCTGCATGTCTTTTTTCACAACGTCGTGGCAGGTGGCAGTTTCCTCTGGTGTATCCTAAAAAATGGAGTCAAAAAAAAGCCCCCAAAACCCCGATTGTCCTCATTCTCTCCTGAAGTTTCTTCCCCCCTCTAAGTTGAGCTCCTGTGTGCCTGGGGAATGGTGTTTAGAGGAGGAATTCCCGGTGGAAGTTAGGAAATGACTGGCCAAACTGAGTTGTGGAGGCTGGCAACCGCTTTCTGCTTCTGCCTGTCATCTTTCTCACAGTGGCTTTTTGTTTTTGTTGTCAGTGGATATGCAGCTGATGAAATTACACACTGTATTCGACCACAGGACATCAAGGAGAGGAGAGCTGTCATCATCCTCCGAAAGTAAGTGTTGAAGCCCTCCGGACAGTAAGATAAACTTGAATGTGGTGTTGGGATATTTCCTAAGGTGCTTTTAAAGGAACACTTTAAAACTGCTTTACTTGTTCATTTGCTGGCTTGATCTTACGTCTTGATTAGGTGTCGCTCTGACGCTCGCTTGTGTCTTGCCGTACCCATCGCTGGGCCGGTGGAAGGAGAGGGAACTTGTTCCTGCAGAGTTAATCGCGGCTTGGCTCCCTGCAGCAGTATTTCATTGTCATGCCTGGGTTTGCAAGCCTTGTTTGTGTCCAAACACCTGGCTCTCATTGGCTGCCTAACTCCAAACAGCTAGGATTTCAAACTCTCGTGTTTGGGGCTATGTATTCAGGTGTCTGATGATCTGATACCACATGTGTGAGTTACCTGGCCGGTCCTTTGAAGCTGATGCTGCTGATGAAAAATCTCCTGTAAAGCAGATCGTTTTCTCGGTAGCATGGCTTTCATTTCCTGGGGAGAGGGAGGAAGATGCTGGCTTGGAAGGAAAATGGGTGCAGTGAATTTAGCGATCGCTTTACAGAGCTTGTCCTTCGAGTCGGTGTTGGGAAGCCGAGCTCTGGAAGCTGTTTTAGAAGCACGCTTCTTGTTTGAGAAGATATGCTGTCTTGATGGCATTTCATCAACCGGTGCTTGTTGCTAAAGCTCTTAAGAAAATGGAGAAAAAAATAAACCAACCCCTCCCCAAAGTCCCTCAGTATAACCTTTTTTCGTGCCTAGAAACGTCCTCGCTCATCAGTTTCTTCTAGGAGACCAAAAAATGTGACTGCCACACGTTGACCCGTGTTGCTTGTGCCTTAGAAGGTGTTAGCAGTAATTCTGCTGTCGAGAAGCCTTTTTGCAAGTGAAAACACGCGACTTGAGTCCTGTAAACCCAGCCCGAAGCGTGGGCATCGGTGGCAGGGCTGCAGTGGTGGCCTGGGCTGGCACAAGGCTAGCAGGCAAGCGGTCTCGATTCAGATTCGTTGAGCTTTCGGACGGCTTAGTGGGTTTCAAAACAAGTCTGGCAACGTTGTGACGATATGGCACAAAGCCAGCGGAGTGGAGTTGGACATCTGGTTAGAGAGACCCACGAAATGAAGGCAGGAAAAACAGCAGCCCTGAGGCGTTAGCCAGACAAAATCAGCACAGACCCAGGGAGGCAGGAGGAGATGTGGCAGGTGATAGAGTGGGGTGAAAGATGGGTTAGAACCAAACCACCCAATAGCTGGTGGCTGCCCTGTGAGGTTTAAGGCGAGAGGGCTGCGATAAAGAGCGAAAAGGCTGTTGTGTTCACGTCACTGGTTACTGCAGCCTTCACAAAGCAGTGTGAGTGCTGATGAGCACCAGTGGAAGGCACCTCCAAATCCTGTAGCTGCTTTAGTTGGCCTTTGGGCTAGAGAAGCTGCCTGTCCTAGGCTGTGGAGCCGTTCCCTACAAAAGACAGACTCGGCTAAATAAACTAAAGCTGCCCAAACTGGCGCAGGTATCTAACATACTTGTTTAAACTGGCTCTACCTCTTGCTTTTGCCAGCCTCTGTGAGCTGAGGGTGTTCAGTGATTTCAGTCTAGCCTGACTGTCCTCCAAGTGCAACCGGGCAAGCGCCTCGCTGGCTGAGATGTACCCTGGCACGTCGCTGCTCAACAGCCAACGCCTGTGAGCTCCTCGCAGAGCCGTGTTGTCTGCGTTTGCTCAGCTTCCTTCTGTAGCCCTGCATCCTTCTGTCTACCCTTGCTTTTAGGGGCCTGATTTTGCTCAGCATTAGAGCAGAAGCCTCTCTGCCCAGTCATCCTCAGGCAGCCACGGGCCGGCTTGACTGGCAGGCTGAACGAAACCACAACAAGGATTTTTCTCGTGAGCAAAGTGGAAACCCCTCCCCCCCGGTAATTATTTCGGTGTAATCTCCGTAGAGCTTAGCAGCCCTGGTGAATACACGGCAATTGCCTGTTTGCCAAAGGGTGCGCTCTGCTGCCAAATAGAGCTTATTAATTGCTCGCTTATCCCTTGCGACGGCGGCCGTCTCCTCGCCGAGCCCCGCGTGCGTGCGCGCGCGCAGCGGGGCCGCGGTGACCTTTGCTGCGGCATCCCCCGCGGCGTGGATCGCTGCAGCAAATGCCGTGCCTTGGTGTCCCGGATCACGCGACTGGGCGCAGGCTGACCTGGTGTGTTATGCAAGCAGGAAAAGGGCTGCTTCCGCGGGTAGCCGGCTGGCTCGGGAGCAGCCAGCGGCCTCGTAAAACGCCTCTTCCTCCTCTTCGTGGTAACGATCGGCCCCGAGCGCTTTCCAGTGGGATCAGATCAGCTGGGTCACGCAGCAGCATCAACTTTGCAGCGGCTGGGAGCTGGGAGGCTTGGCTCTGAACGGGCTGCCAGAGCCTG